ATATTTTTCCTGGATATTTTCCCCTCTCCCATATAAAAAACTCATATATCTTTTGGAATCACTACTGGACCAAAGACCTGGAGAAACATCAGAAGCTGCCCTCTAGGCATTTTCTCTAGAGTCCCCATGAGAATGAGAAAAATTTCATGATGTTTCTTAAAATTACCCCATTTCTGGGAAAGTTTCCCTTGGAAGAAAGAATAAGCTGTATCTCTGATACAGAATAACTTCTGACACTATGTAAACTTTAATAGTGATCATTATCAGGTTTATCAGGCAAGAAAGCATACATTTTTATTAACTGCATGAGCACTCAGCGCAGTCTATAGAACAGCAGTTGTGGGGATCCAAAGGAACATTATTTAATTGTAGCGTAGTAAAAGTCATCAGGGTGCACTATGGGGTGTTAAATCTAATGAAATGTCAGATTTTCAGTGGCCTGAAACATGTATGGTTTTAAACCACACAGTGCTAGTTTGTAGGATTAGGTTATAAACAGAGTTATCTTAAATTTATCTCAGAGCACTAGCTAATGTGGCCACTCACTTATTTGCAACATTAGAAAACATTCTGCTTAGATTATAACACACTGGAAAATTCCCATTAAAGCCATGCCCGTCCAATTTTCCTCGTGGGGTGGCAGAGACTCCAGAGGCAGATTCCGCGCGCCCAAACCCCGGTTACGCTGGCGGAGGATTCCCCTGTTTCGGCTGCCGCTCTGGGCGCTCCCCGCAGTGGAGCAATATTGCAGCTTTTGGTTTTAATTTGGAGGGATAGAAGTGTTCCCACAGTAAGCAAGCAAGCAGTGAGCCAGCTAGCGGCGCTTCTCCCGCCGCTCTGAATTCCGTCCTCCTCTGGAGAGCTGCCGGGGGCTGACACTGGCTGACCCTGCTTACAGGAATATCACTGTGGAGATGCCTCCACCTTCGGTGTGACCATCCTTGACCTGGCTTTGGCACATACCCCCCTTCCTTCACACAAGGCAGGCCTCGCTTTCCAGTTCCCCTCCTGCCGCTCACAGCTCTGAGGTCCAACTTAGAAGGAAAAGAGAAATATTCAACAGTTCTCAAGCAAAGACTGAAACACTCCACTTCCAAATATGCTGCAATTGTTTTTTGTTTTAGAGCAAAATGCTTTATAATATAAGCATACTTTACCTGTTTCTGAAGTAGCTACTGTAGTCAAAATGATAAATAAATACTATCTATTTTAAAAGGGTGTATTGGTAGAATAGATGATTCCTAAAAGGAACAGTCACTTTAAAAATACTCATAAAATATTCATTAAATAAGTAAAGTTTCCATTTTCCAAATGGAAAACTCCAGGAAAGAATGAAGATCTTGTTACAATTGCAGGCAGAGCTATGTAGAACTATTGTTATTATTTCAATTAAACTTTGTTAAAAAAAAATATCTGCGAATCGTTAGTTGGGACATCAGACATCTTAATGCTTGTTTTCTGTCTTCATTTCAGGGACCTAAAAATTGAAAATTTTCTCCTTGATGAGAACAACAACATCAAAATTGTTGGTAAGTGTACACTGTCAGTGAAGCTCATTTTCACCTTCTTAGTTTGTGTAGCCTTCAGTAACAATTCAGTAACTATTTATGCAATACATTTTATGAGCGAACTTGTGATTATTTAATTAAAACATTCTAGCTTTATTGGAATAAATGTTATGAAGTATAACTTAACAGCTTGTTTTTCTGAGCTCTAACTAAAACATATTTTTAAGAGACCAAGGCAAACAATTTTGTCTACTCTTCTCCCTTGTGTATTGCTGGAGAAGCAAGAAACAATTACAGCTTTTATGTGTAGAAAGCGGTTCCTAACAGAAGTGATTTGTGGGCAAGGAAATCAATCTTTTGAGGTGAAACTCAGGTACGAATGTATGAGCTTCTTTGGGGACATTAGTCCAACCAGATACCTCATCTTTTGACGAGTGGAGAAAAAAAAAAAAAAAAAAAAGGACAATTTTGGTCGCTAACAGAAATCTTGCCACAGTTCTGAATAGGGAAGTAAACATTTATAGAAATGAGGGAATTTGCACCAAGCAGTTAACACAGCTCAAATAAACATTAATTTTATTCTACAGAAACCGCACAAAAAAATCCTAGCAAGGGAAATTCGCTTTTAGAGACGCCACGTGTTTAACCCACTGTTTCCCAAACTTTTAAAAGCTTAACACCTCTGAGGAAAAAAGGAACCAACTCTTCACCCCTGTTTTATAGCCAGCCAGTCCTTCACAATCACACCTTTCTCTTCCCTCCCCTTGCACACATGCAGAGAAAAAGGCTAAAGTTAGCACATTTTACCTCTCATTTACAACAGGCTAATGCCATAACTCATTAAGACACTCTAATTCAAGGGTATAGCTGAGTTCCCATACTGGCATGCAGTCATCTGAAGTGAACTAAAAACACAAAATAAACCAAACTAGGAGCATAGCCTCATGACCAGGTAACTTCAATCTCACATTCATGACATGTTTATTCAACCCAAACTGGCATCCACAGTTGAGATGTCACCACAGGGCAGCACTAGTTGCATGGCTTTGGTCAAGAAATACAGAGAGGCTCCGATTAACTTTGCTTGCCTCCTCTTGCAGCTGATCTCAGGAGACTTCCTCCTCCTCCTCCTCGGGGCAAGTCACATCATAGATTTGTGTGGGCCACCAGCAGCAACCATCAAACCAGCCCAGCTGACACAGCAGTGACTGCTCTGCCACCCTCAGAGCAAGGACCATGAGCAGGGCCCTAGGGAGCTGTTCTGCATCTCATGTGCATTCCTGGCTTCCTGGCCCACAGATGACAGTGGATGCCCCTCAGCTGGAAGCCGGATGCACCAGGTCTCCCTGCGGTGCCCACCACCCACACTGTGGTCCTCCTTGTGGGGCTGCCTCAGAGGTTGGCAGCTGGCACCCTTCAAGTAAATCCAGCCTAGGAGATATATTTTCCAAACGCGGAAGGTTGCTGTGCTGGTCAGCAATCACTGCAAAGCATTACTTTTTTAGTTTTTATTTACTTCTAACTATATATGTCTAACTACATATGTTTATATAATTTGTGTATATAAAAGTGGCTGTGATACTATAAATGCTGCACAAGGAAATAAAGCATAGTGCCTGTTAGCTGCACTCATAATATTGTTTGCATTCATAATATTGTTGCTTCTATGTTTTTCTCTTATCTTTGGCCAGTTGCTATGGATAAAGGATTTTGAGAAGAGACTAAAGGGTTTTTGTCTCTTTTTTTCTTTTTTTTTTTTTGTGATGAACAGATTTTGGACTAAGCAATACTGCAAAGTTTGCGGGTCTCTCTCAGGAGCTGTTAAGCACACAGTGTGGAAGCCCAGCTTATGCTGCCCCTGAGCTCCTTGCTCACAGAAAATACGGTCCGAAGGTGGATGTCTGGTCCATGTAAGTAGATCTAAAAATACACTCACTGAAACACTCTCAGCACTGAATGGTTTAGACAAGATCCTGGCAGAAATGGTTAGTGGCACTCTGCTTTGGGACATAAACATGGAAAACAGAGCTGTGTGAGAGAAGTTGTGTAAGAGTAGGATAGAGCAAGACAAGTCTTCACCTAGACTGCTGAGGTTCAAAGACTCAGCAGACAGGCAGTATTATCCAAACAGTGGTTCAGACATCTAATTATTGAGCTAGCTCTCATACCAACATTGCGAGGAGCCCCTGTTAAAAAAGTGTGTGTATGTATGTAGACATACACATATGCATGCAAATACATTATTTTTCTAAATACCTAAGGTATGGTTTCTGACATACTATATATCAGGGTTTTGACTTAACTCTGTCTCTTATACCCCAGTTTCCTCTAAATTACAGGATATGAATGGTACAAAAGTTAAGTATGAAGGGAGAAATTCTGCTAAATTATTTCAGTGTAAATCTAGATTTCAAGAGTGCTATTCTAAATTCATCTAGACATAACAAAGATAAAAAATGCCCAGACGATGCTGTCGGCATTTATATAGGATTACATTTATTCCATATTTCAAATGTCTAAAGAAGGCAAAGCAGCAACCTTAGAACCTTTTATTGAGCTCAATCTGTTAATAAACATCACATAACAAATCAAGGGCTATATAAAGCTTATATAAGGCCCTTGGTACTTAGCACAGACATATTCTATGTCTTTGGCATAAAACATACTTACACTTTATCCTGAATTGCTCACATTTTCATCATGGAAAAAGTGCTTTTGATGGCCTATAATATTAATTAGAAAAATAAGTTACTGATGCAAAATAAATAAAGGATTCCAGGTCAACCAGTATAGTGAGGAAACACTGACTTTACACAGCGAAACTGATAAGCAACTGTTATGACCAGAACTAGAAACCTATGTTCTGTCAGAAGCATATTCAGAACACCAGCCAGATACAACTGCTATGCAATTAAGGCTCTGCTGAGGAAACAGCAGTGCCTGTTTTGCCTGTTCACAGCTTTACTGCATAAGATTTTAAAGATTCTTTGGAGGACTGGAAAGTGATTAGCTTTCATACACCAGCTGAATTAAGAAAACAGCTGCTGTATTCGAACAAAGCCAGATAGTTCAGTGGGATAAAGCAGCAGTCTGTTACAGCCAATAAATTTTCAAATTTAACATACCATCAGATTCCAGACACAATTAGCTATTAAGCACCTTGCTGCTAACTAGCTACATTTTGTGCATTAGGTATCTGAAGAAATTTTAGAACTACACAGCTCCATGCACTCCGCAAGTTCCCCTGCTCTGGGTATTCACCATTGAGGAGGCCGACAAAAAGAACGATTGCCATTTTAAAGCACCAGTCATGCATATCATCACCAATTTAAAATGCATGGTAGTGTTTGTAGTATTGAAAAGACAAATGTGTTTGATGTTGTAATAACATTGGAGATCCATTTGCACTGTGTGTTATTCCAACTCATCAGTGAATATTCAGGGACCCTCCTATCACTTTAACTCCAGCTATTTTTAGCCCACATATTACATATTATAGAAGTACAATCCTTGCTACTTCAGGCACCTGAAAACAATGCCATTTCCTTGCCATATGTTTTGTCTCAATCATCAAGAAACTTTTGGAAAACAGTAAGTTCGAGGACCAGATTTATCAGAAGTTTTAGTAAAGTAAGCTGAGATTTTATCCCACCTAATTTTAACTATCTCACAACCAGACATCTAGGTTAGTGTCTGCTATCGTCCATGGAGGGAGATAGCTCACCTCCTGATGCAATTAACATAACCTAAAATAGCTGCCTAACACAAGAGGTCTCTCTCAATATCCACATTTTAGATGGCTAAAGTCACCATGGGAAGTCCTGGTTGAGAGCATTAAAACATGTTTATCCATAGAGCTCCAGTTCAAATACAGTCTAAGTCAACAATTAGAAGAAGGTCCAACTATCTTCTAATGATTTTTCAATGGTTTAAAAACAGTAAAAAGGCTGTAGCTGTGTATGCCATGAGCTGATCTCTGTTTCACAAGTAACATCATCAACACTAATAAGGAAACTAGATCCACTAAACTAAAGTTGCCTGAACTCCTAAAACAAATACATCTACTGAATTCAATACTGAAATGACAAGGGACCTTGAAAGCAACTGCTGTTGTGGTGTTCTGGCGCAGCTGCAACAAGGAAGTACCATGGAGAGTGTTCAAGGAAACCTCCCAGTCTGCAAAATCCGGATAGTAAGCAAAGTTTTCTGAAGAGTGTTACTTCTTCAAACTGAATGGCAGACATTTGTGAGGTTTGCTAATGGCTTTTAGCAAACTACTAGTCTTTCACAATAGTTAAAGCTTTCAGTCTTTAACCAACAGCAAACTGTTAGCAAATGAATGCCTTCTGGGCATAAGTCACACCTAATTTAGCAATCTGTACAAAGCAAGAGGAACTGAATTAGTATTTGGAACAGGATCTAACACAGCAGTCCCAGTCCTATGTTGTCACTCAACCTCTAAGCTGAAATACTTTATTCTGGTGGGCCAGGTACCCTACACTGACACTCCAGTGAGCTTATTTTAAAAATAAACAGCAGGTTTCCACTTTCAACACTGCAGGTTTTCCACTCACTCACTAGGCGGTCTTTTTTTATATATACTTGCCATAAAACTCTCTTCTAGGGTAAAACAGCATTTACTCAAAGAAAAAAGTATAAGCTTTCAGTACAAATTGCTGGTAAAGATAATTTGTAACCTTCCTCTTGATACCGAAGGCAAATATCTGAAACCTGACCCATAGCTTTCTGTTTTGTTTTGTTTTGAATACACATATTTATATTCATTATAATTATTTAGAGCTCTGACATTCATTTTTTTTTTCTTTGACAGAGGTGTTAGCATGTTTGCTATGCTAACTGGCACATTACCCTTCATAGTGGAACCTTTTAATATCAAGCAACTACATCAAAAGATGGTAATTGGAGAAATCAGTCCTATTCCATCAGATATCTCCCCCGGTAATGCACTCTAAATTTTATAAAGAATACTGAGGTATAAAATGTCTAGCATATGTGATAAGGCGACTTTAACAACAACACGATCTTTTTTTCACTGGCACGTACCTTTTCCACTTGTTTTTGTTGTCATTTAGAAATAGGTTTTGTGTGTCTTGAGCAGGATCTCTTTTTCTCACGGGCTACTAGGAAGGCAGGCCTCTTCCAGAGACCACAGTTCTTGGTTCTTCACGGTGGGCATAAAATGTACATCACTTCTACACAGGCAGAGTAGTCACAAAGTAAATGAGAATGCTGTCACATTTGGTGTGGGTAGGAAACATTCAGCAGGCCACTTTTGTGTCTTTCCAAAGGATTCTTTATTAAAACCTTAGGTCATTTTTTCTTGAAGTTCCTCTTTCCTTTTCACTATAAACAGAACACCATGAAGTATAGATAATTAAAGAAGTGGGAGTTTTGGGGTTTTTTTATGAATTGTGTTCATATTTTTAACGAGAAAAAATGATATTCAACATTTTTCATTCAATTTTGCTGACTATCTTTAGTGAGGTGCAGTCTAACGGGTCTTTTTAGACAACTGGCAAAGACAGAGCTCAGAAGCTCTAGCCTGAACTCTAGCCCAAATTACAGCCCATGTCTCTAAAGCCAAGAAGGAACAGTGTATATAAATTTGGGGCTTGCAGTCCAAAAGTTCCTTCCATAAAGCTCAAAATGTTGTTCTTTATAATGATTCATGTAAACCACGGGTTTATTCTCTATTTGCTCTCCATGTGGACCAGCATCGTCTCTGTCTAGCGCCACAGGTTTCGGCCTCTTCTTGCACCCGTTTCAAAGCACATCGCTTCCCTGACCAAGCCAGAAAGCAGAGCAGAATGACATGTTTGTCTAGCACGAGTTCTACCAGCCTGAGTTCAGATCTCCCCACCGTTCTGAACAATTTTGCTCTAACATTAGGCAAGAATGAATTCAGGATCCAAGATTAGCTAAAGCGGCTGCCCACAGTCAAACACTGGGAAGTTCCAGGGAATTCCAGATTATGCTAGCTGCATCTAATTTGAAGCTACAATATTAGGAGAATGTGATGATATAATTTCTTCTCCCTCACCCCCAAATGCTATGAGAATATCCACCATAACTGTCCAGAATATCTGTACAGTAGTCACTCATTTATCTTTTTTTGGAGATGGGTTATCAGATATTAATTCCATTTTTCTACAAGCTGCAATTATTGCATTTCTAATTTTTCTAATTTATGCTATTGTTATAGCTCCTACTAATGAATGCATAATCTCTGCTTTTCTACAAAGCCCACACAGTTAGTGGAAGATTGTGGATAATGCCATTGTTCCCTTGTCCCTTGGGAATTTAGTGAGAGAGCAGGAGCAAACAAGTTTTGCATACTTCAAACCTAAGTTCTTGTGAAGGAGATTCCAAGTGAAAGGAGCATTATGGTCCCAGTTTAATGCTTACTTGCTATTTTGCTCATTTGAAAACATCCCCAAGGAATATCAAATAATTTGGTAGAGATTTCCCAAGGAAAAAAAAAAAAGAGAAAGAGAGAGAGGGATTTTATGCAGTATTGGAACTGAATGACAGGCATATGGGAATGCTTGAACTTTCTCTGTCCAAGCTCCAGGAAGCTAAAGCACAATATGTCATCTGAGCACAAGGGTGCATCTCCCTCCCTTCATGGAGAGATTTATTAAGGAGGTTAGTTTCTTCATACTGGTAAAGTTACTCCAGGGAAGTCGCGTGGCACAGGATTTGTGTCCCCACAGACTCACAGAATGGTTGAGGTTGGAAGGGACCTCTACAGATCATCTAGTACAACTCCACTGCTCCAGCAGGGACACCTAGAGCACGTGGCACAGGGTGGCATCCAAGCAGGTTTGGAAGATCTCCAGAGAAGGAGACTCCACCACCTCTCTGGGCCGCCTGTTCCAGGGCTCCTCGGAGTCTTGATGATATTAGCAAGAACAACACTGCAATGGCTATGGGTGCCATGGGCTATGTTTGCAAGGGTAAATAAAACAACTTGGTGACCCAGCACTAGTTCTGGCCCATACGAACAAGTCAACGTGGTTTGGCCCATGCTGACCAACCTCTCAGGAATGCTTGGAGGGGAACAGGGACATGATAAGGATCTTAGAGGAGAGTTGAAGCTGTTTTATACATCAGTTCAGAGACAGCGCTAGAAATGGGACTTTAGCTTAGGTTCTTAAGTGGAGAAGCTGGGCACATGCAACACTTCTGAAGAAGGAAAACTTTGCACTGAATAATCAAATATTACTGCCGCTAAACAAGCCAATTCATCTGAATGCTGCACAGGAGCTGTAAACTTCATGCAGTCCTTACTTGAGCCTGACCCTGCCAAGAGACCTGAAGTGAAAGAAGCAATGAAGGACACGTGGTTGAACGAAGGCTTCACCAGGAAATCACCCTATGTTGCTACCTATAAGAACAGGTAATGGATTTCACACCTCTTTTCTAGCACAGGTTTGGGGGGTTGAATTTTTTGGTGAAGGGTAGTGCATGTTTTAGGGTTTCTGTTTGTTTGTTTGGTTATTTGCTCAGGGCTGTTTCAAAATGCTAGAAGTCTCCTTCAGAAAATACCACATTACCTTTCCTAACCATATATAATTTCAGATAAGATGAATCATCTTTATAGAACTGTTTATATTCATCGTACCAACATTTTTTTTCTTGAAGTGCTTCACTGGTGCAACCCATTTCTAGAGAGTTTGCTTCTAATACTTTCCTGGGAGGCTGCAAAGTATGCTTTGCATGCTCCTAAATATCTAATTTCCATGGTGGACCGTTTTGTTATTCCTCACAGCTAAAAGTGGCTAGGTAGCAGGTAGACTTGGGTCAAATATTTTACATTCAGATCATTCTGTAAAAAATCAGTAGGTTTACAGCAATACAAAAAGAAGATATTTTGGCCTATGCAATCTGCATATATGAAATACAGCTGTTTTTCCTGCCACAGCATGTGCGATCTACCACCAGTCCTAGTCTGGATTATTAGAAATCTATGTGCAATTTGTTCATTTCTCTGAGAACTGTTCACCATTCCTTTTTGCCCTTCTCCCCTTCTTTCTGATACATATGCTTCCATTATTAATTTTGAAGTTTGAAAAGTCTGAAAAAATATCTTAGGAATCTTAGAATTCAATGATATGATATTTCTAAAATGCCTTTACTAGATTTACTCAAGCAGCCCACTTTTAAAATAATTATCATACCAGTTTTGTTTAATAGTCTAATCTACATAAAAATAAAAATCTTCCTGTGCTTTCCTTAACTTTTTTTTTTATTTATCCTCTGAGATTTTCCAGCCTTTGGGGCTCTTCCTGTCTTCTCACACACAGGCACACATTCTCTCTCTTCATTAATCCATTTGAGACTACTGTACTGACAACCAAAACATGCACACTTGATTAAAATGAGAAAATATGGTTTTCTGTCTTTTGATTTTTCAAGCTTAGCCCGACTGGGCATCCTTTCAGAGTAATAATTATATCAACAATAGAATATTTAATAATGCAGTAACAGAGCCTCAGCCCAGCAGTGAAGTTGCAGAGGATTTTTTGCACAACTGTGCATCGTATTTTGACAATATGAGGTATTCAATCTATTTTACCTACATCACAAGAAGCGTATTTCCAACTTCCTGCAATTGTGCCTGGATGTATCATTCATACTTAAATACTTCTTCCTAATTTTTCAGACTTTGCCCCAATGAATTAAATCCTGTTGTTTTAAGCTACATGACAGAAATAATGGCCTTCAGTCTTCCAGAAGTTATCAAAATTTTAATAAACAACAGACCATCTTCTGTCATGGCATCTTACTGCTTATTGCTGAAGAAACTGCTCAGGTACCAGAGAGAACACAAAGCAGCCCAGGTAAGATATCAAGTTCCTGAAAAGCAAGACTTGCACCCTAGATTCTTATGAATGTTGTTGTAGCCCTGGAAGCACCATAGCTTGGAAACAAGACTAAGGAAAAAATGGTAATAAAATTACATACCTGTGTACAGTCTGAGAAGCCTATATTCTGGCATTCTCTGAAATTATTATTTTAAGAGATTTTTTTCCCAGAAATAAATATAACCTTCTTAATGACTAATCAATTAAAGAAAAATTGGGCCGCGAGTGTAATGGGAATGATTTTTTCTTGCTTTACATAAAATATGGATTCTCCAGTAGGAAAAGGAAGGTTAGCATCTCAGCGACCTGCTGTCCTTTTCTGACTGCCTGATCTGAAGTCTGGAGGGGTCAGTGGGGTATTACACAGTCTTTTCTTTTTTTTTTGAGGGGGGGGGTGTTGGGGTAGCAGGGGAGGTAAGGGACAGGGAAGGAGAGTTTTTATCCTTATATATTTTGTTCAGTGAGGAATGAGATCAGAGAGGACAAAAATTTTTTAAATAATTTCAAAAAAAATTATGGTAATAGCCAGTAAGGCCTCAATTAGTTAAAAAGTCTGTAAGCTTTTCTTTTACAACCGTCTCCACTACGGGGTTCACAGCTCAGTCATAAAAATTTTGCTTCAGGCAGAAACTAGGCAGACAGGAAGCCAAATTCCAGCTTCTAACACACAAGTGCAATGGGAAAGATTTCAGCTACAAAACAACACACGTCGGCGATTAGAGTCTCACTCAAAGCCTTCGCCCCAGAGAAGCTGTACTTTGAGAAGGTCCAGTTGACTCCTCCAGAAATTATTCAGATGAGCTTGAGTAGATCCAGATCTCCATCCCAGCACACAGCCCCAAGGTCACAACAGCCTGTGCAGTGTTTGCACGCAGAGTCATAACTCAAAAATATTAGTTGGGGAGTGTGTGCATGTTCGGGGGGAGGAGGTTTTCCCTCGCATATGTGATTTTCTTCATGTTATAATTTTCAACTGCTAAATCATAAGTCACTGAAAAAAAGCCATATTGTGAAGACTATTGACTCTGGATATCAAGCTGATTTATAGCCCCTAAAGATCTAGCCTTCCAGGCAAGTGGTAGCATTTCACGTCCTCTGCGACCTTTTTCACCGTCCTACCTGGGTGGAATAGGGAAGTGATTGTGTGTATAAAGATTGTGTGTATAAAGCAAGCTACAAGCTGAATAAGGGGCTGTGTTACTTCCTGCCACCCAAAATGCCCTCCAAAAATGGAGTCAAGCTGAACTCAAACCCAGACCAAAAAAAAAAAAAAAAAGTGTGTGGAGTGGGTTCTAATTTTTATGTAAAAGAGAATGGGCTATTATTTTGAAGTCCCAATATATGTATTTCCCAGATGGGTTGGAGGTTTTGGCAGAGCAATGGGAAAAGAGGCAAGTTTAGCAAAGGAATGGCTGGGGTTTTTGAAGGTTTAAACTCAACTCAAAACAACCTACGCAGCTACCGGAGCAAGCTAGGGGTGACATTCCAACCTGGCGTATCCTGAGAGGAATGTGTGGAGCACAGGAGCAGGCTGCGCGCCCTGGGGTCCGTCCAGCTCCACGCTGCCTCTCTCCCTTTCCAGGCAGCTCCCAGACGTGCAGCTTCGTGCTGCATTACAGCACGTGCTGGGCAGGGGGGCTTCCAAGCTTGCCACCTGGGCGGACAGGACCTCCCTTTGAGGGCTTTACAGGGAAGCAAGGCCCGGGCTTTTAGGAGGACGGCTTTGCTAAGAACCCGACATACAGGCACAAGCAAGGGGCCTGTACTAGGCAGACCAGATGCTATTATAAATGAAACCTTCTAATTTCTGCTAACTAAGAAAATCACAGGAATTAGAAGAACAAATTGATCCCATCTTTCCCTGTCACTGCATATTCGCTCCCTCTTGCTTATTACCACTGTTTGTAAAGCCTGCTTTTAAAATCATTAATTCAAAGCCTGCTACTAGTACCATTTGGAGAATATTCTGTTATCAGTTACATCTCCCCAATACAAATATTTCTCCAGACCTTCAATCTAAATAGTTTCTTAATTCTGCCCTCCCTCCGCTTTCCTAGTTATATGCTTATGTTGTATTAAAAATAAATTTTCTCCCTTGCCGGTAGTTAGGCTCTGCAAATATATGTAATTTATCATAATCACCTCTTGGTTGCTTCTCATTCGAGCTTTATGAACAATTAACCAGTGCAATCGCTCCTCCCAAAGAGCAATCTGAATTCAGGACTGTGCGACCACCCTCTGGGCATTTTCTCTAATGCTCAGTAATATTTCCATTGCCCAGAATTTGGGGGCTTGACATGGAAGAGAGAAGAAGAAGAAGGGAAGTTTGTCAAAGAAATCAAGTGAGATCTTGTTCCACGGCACTCATAGCTTTCCAGTAGTTTCTGCCATCTTCCTCAGCAGAAGCTGCTTCACGCACACACCTACACAAGGGCAAAACGTAGCCCTGTGCATAGCAGAGTATATAGGGGAAAGGAAGGACTGCACCTCCGGGGTGCTGGGGGGACCCCGCGGGTGGCACGAGGCCTGGGGCAGAGCCCAGCAGCCAGAGCCCTGCACCCCAGCAAGCCGGGTAAAGACTGGGAGCAAGGGGGAGGTTTCCCTTTTTCTCTTGTCAAGGCCATGTTAATGCCGCTGAAGCTTAATTACAACAGCACGGGTATTTGATACCTGCATTATAAATGATGCCAGCGGTATTTCAGAATGGTATTTCAGAATGCCTATACGAATGCTCTTGTCTATATAACACCAACTATTTGCTGTTCATTGCTAGCAGTGTGTGATCAGTCATTAAATCATGTAATATTGTTTCAGTTCTCCAGATCTCACAAATATATGCATCTGCTTTATTTTTTAAGCCTATGAATAGTTTAAATGAACTCAATAAGATAAACTGTGTGCATAAAATTAAAGGATAAAAAGAAGAGTTTGCAGAATCTGCATCCAGAAGGAACAAAACAAATAACAATTAACAAAGTCGCAAGTAAAGCAAAGTTCCCTGAAAACAAATTGCCATCCCTTTAAATGATCTGTTTCGGATGCTATAGCATAGGATATATTCTTGCCTGCGAAAGGAAAAGAGATATTCACAGAAGCTAATATTTTTAAAGAGACTTGAGGAATTAAAAACCTCCCCTCAGCAAACTGTTGAAAAAGTTTGCATCTATCTCCTCTAAAAATTCTTCCCCAAAAGAACTAAACATGGCCAATGTCATCACAAACAAAAAAAAGAATTTGCTTTCATGGCAACACTCATAAATAACATGCAGTAAATTATTCTTCCAACACAATCAAACTGAAACACTGTTTGGAATTCAACCACATATTTACAAACCACTGCATTCAACTCATTCCAAGCAAGAAACTGCACTGTGATTTTTAATGCAATACCAAAGAAACATATAAACTTTTGTGGACAAATTTTCAGCAGAGCTTTTAATCTACAGCTGCAAAAAAAAAAAGTGCATGCAAAGTATTTTTCATGTACAAAAGCCCGTGTGTTCGCATAAACAGTATGAGTCATTGTAGTCTCAATTTCTACTTTTACACACAAGTTAACATTTGTACATGCAAATAATAGTTTTTGTGGATGCAAACAGATGTGATTCTCATTCTTCTGTTCACAATTAGGAAAGTCTGCTGAAAGCTTGACCCTGAAAAAAGTATAAGATCCTTTCCATGTTCAAATTTGAGCCATAAGTCATTGGATAAACTTAAAACACAGCCTGTCCTTTTATGCACCGTAATTTCTCCAAGCAATGTATTTACATTTTATGTGTGCTGTTGCAGAAGAGGGAGCCTTAATGATTACAATTTGCCATCCAGAACTTTATAGCTAGTCTTTGCAGAAAATAGCATTTCTGCCAAAAAGCTTCCTGCCCAGGTGCTTAACCAATTAGCTCTTAAGAGGTCTGGCAGTAAAACCAGTCATGGCAAGTTTTCTGATATACTGTATATAAGGTGACAGCTTGCAAAATGTAAGATGAAAATTTGTTTTCTTAACTAGCAGTGTGTAAAATCCTGGGAGACTATTTGATTGCATTGCCTAAAATGCTTATGACATCTCAAATTCCCAATTGATCTAGCGTGATTTTAGCAATATGTTGTCAAGTTAAACATATTGTGTTTCTTTTTATAAATACCTCTCAAATAATTTCCTTAATTGGGATTGGGTGTTGCAACTATGTAGGAGTAACCCCATGAGTTTGAGGTTTGGGGCCCTTTGAATTTTTCCAAACATTTTTGCTAACTCACAAGGTACATGCAAGCTTTCAAAAGTGCCTTCTCTCCACAAATTACACTCACGTTTTTAATGGCATGTTAGATTAAAAACATGTTTTTTACAAGCAGAGTATTTTGCTATGCAAAGAATAGAAGAAAACCATCAAAGAAAGACAAATAAATTGTAGTAAAGCAAATGACTTTTCTGATTCTGGAAGCAAGAGGTTTATATTATGTAGTGAAGAGACCAAAACTCACTATAGGCACTCCTTGAAGAGGTGGCTGTATAACGGGTCTGTCAAAGGTGATAGAAAGAACCATGCAAGAAAGTTGTGCTACTGAACTGGAATATCCGTGTGGATCCTCAATGCATTTCAGCAATTTCATTTTCAGGAAGGCCAGACCCAAGCAAAGAGGCTTTTTGGCAGTGCAAATGGCTCACCATGTATTGCAGAAGGGGAGTTATTTCACTGTGCACATAGAATCATAGAATCACAGAATCATAGAATGCTTAAGGTTGGAAGGCACCTCTAGAGGTCATCTAGTCCAACCCCCCTGCACACGCAGGGTCAACTAGAGCACGTGGCACAGGACTGCATCCAAGTGGGTTTGGAAGATCTCCAGATCTTGAGTCTTTGCAGTTTTGATGCTGGAGACTCCACGTGCATTAGTCCTGATGGGACCCAGAGAAGTTGGATCATGGGATAGATATATATCCAGCATATGAGAACAGCCCCCCAGAATGTGGTAGTTGCACATGGGAGGAAGAGTCATGGTGCCATAGCAGAAGAGAGTCCCAAAGCTCAGGGTTGTGCGAGGAAGCAGTTGCCACCCCACAGCACTGCAGCATCGTTCTTGCTCCATGATCATACATTACACTACACATTACACGTGATTACATATACATGGTGAGCAGATAACAAGTGACCTGTAAAGCCTATGTGAAATATATATGTGAAGTATAATATGTGAAATACAGGTGCTGCCAACAGAGAGGATGTCTTCCACTGAATATGTTTCTTCGAGGCAGTCTGCCTTTCTCATGTGCAGGATAATGCATATGGTACATAAAATTATAGAGCTAAATTCTGTGAATTTAGTGGGAGGGGAGATGCAGCCCTGCGTTTTAGTCGGGAGGCTGTCTGTGGGTGTCCTCTTGGTGTGATTCCACTGCAAAATCCGCTCAGAGATGGTCTAGCCCTACAGGGACTGCCTCCTCTCTCAGCAGACTGCAACAGTCCCACGATGATCTTCCTCCTGTCCTGCGGGATGACTCACAACATCCCGCAATGCTTTTCCTGTGCAGCGTGAGCCCGGTGGTACCCTGGTCTCCGCTGGGTGCCCATTAGCAGACTCTGTGAGCCATGAACCTTGGAGAAGTGCTCAGGGCTCTCCTTGAATTGCACTTTGCTCTTCAGCGGGTTTTCACAAAAACGTGCTCCCTATGGCCTGTATGCTAGGGTGAAGGTTGGCAGCTCCTGCACCAGCGGGATCGCAAGCAAAGCCTCCGCTATGGCATCTGCCCAGGTGAAGAGCCAGTGTGAGAAAATAAGGGATTGTGTGGAAATAAGGATAATGTGTTATATTTCCATTTCCTTTAACATTCAAAGTGCTTTTTTGTTCAGTACTAATTGAATGGTGTCCGATAATTTTGCAGAGGGAAAACAAGCTAGAAAAACACTATGACAATCCTGATAAACACCTGAGTGAGGAGTCAGAAATTCAGATTTCCCAGAAGGCTGAAATGAACAACCTGGGATACCTTAGGAATTGTGACAATAAGACATTTCCTTCTGTACTAAACCTGGCAATGCCAGATGCTATTCAAGAAGATGAAATTTCAATTACTTTGGAAAATGAAGAAAACTTGCCTGAAGGTAATGTTCTGAACTAATGTTCTTGGTATCATAGTTGGAAAGGGTTCTAGCAGAGCTGCCTAGGAAAAAAATCCATATTTTGTTTTGAAATGCAAAGTATTTGAGCAATTGTTTCCCAGACCCAAGTTTGGTGATTGATTTAACATTGATCAGATGAAAGAATGATTGGAGGCGAACATTTGATCCAGTTTATACTTGGTAGATACTGATTATAGTTGTTCCATGTCATTATACGAGCTAGTTTCTCTGCAAGTCACACTGAGATGGTATCACTAAGACAATTTCAAGAATACTTGCAATACTTGACTTCATGGCCCAAGAGTCACAACTTCATTACATTCAAGAAGGGATTGCACTCTCACTCGTGGCATCAATTTACATGGCCCTATACATTGTTTAGAAAAGGCAACATTTCATGCACTTAGCAGTAATCACAAAAATATAGAAGATGCAGGGTAGTGGATTGTCAAACTCCAGGCCTGAATTTAGACTATTTCTGCTCCAGTTAATGCATACCCACACACATATGTGGCATGGTTAAGTCATTCTGATTAATAGCCCCAGAAGCATAAATGAATAATGGTAACTAAAATTAAGCCAGGCAGCTTTATGCTGAAGTGCTCATTTGAGATCGCTCACCCAGTCAAAAAAATGCTGATTGCCTACCTTCTGATCACCATTTACTTTAAAATCTCTGTTCAAAATGTCACCATATGTCAAGATCTATTTTTATTTATGCCTTTAGAAGTGCTATGTCTACAACTAGGATGAAGTTATTTTGATATTAGCATGTTATTTTTTTCTCGAAACTACCATCCCAACAGAAGATGATCTTAATTATTTTACATTCCACTTAGTTTCCAAGTTTGCAGACAAAGAGTTGGTTTACCTTGGACCTCCTAAGTCATCAAGCAAATGCATGCCAACTGAAACCATTTATCAGCCCTTTCTGGACTTTCAGGAGAATGTGAATGATTTTGAGGACTTGACTGAGGTCAGAAAATCATGTCTTTGTGAGAAATCACCACCTACCCTAGCAAATAACCAACCTCCCTCTTCAAATCTCCATGCTCAAAGTTCTGCGAAGGCATGTACAAGCAAAGTGCCTCCCCAGCCCCTCATGGAAAACAGAGTTATTGCTAGGAGCCCTTTGCCTCATCAGAACATGAGATTTAAAGAGCTTCTGGAAGCAATGGATGACAATATTCCAGTTCCAGCATGGTGGCACTCTGATCAAGAGGACAACAGCTTTGTAGTGATTGACTCTTCACAGCACTCCGCTTTGCCTAGGCTACGACAAGCTGTCCCAAAAGAAATCGTAACTAGCAGAATTTCCAGGCTGGGAACATCACTGCAACACACAAGTATCTCCCCTCTGTTTTTAGTTAATGGTTCAAAACCGCCAGCCTTCTCCACGTGCCGACAGCAAACGCTTACGGGCAGAAGTTTGAGGCAGTCTAGAGAAAACCCAACTCATTTTTTCAACAAGACTAAGAAAAACTTCATCCAACTCAGACATGCGCATAAAGCTACAGATCTAAATCTTCCAGCTTTACCTCCACCATACCAAAACAGGTCAGAGAAAAAAGCAGAAACTTTAAGGTTAAAATTTGAATAAACAAAACATTAGCAGAGCATCAGAAGAAAACAGGAGGAAAAGGCAGGAAAGAAGCAAAGAAGGACAGAAACAGAGAAAGAAAAGGAAGGCAGGACAGATAAAACCAAATCTTAAAATTAGGTATTTCTGAAAATGGAGAAGGATGGTAAGATTTCAGCTGTGCATCCCATGATACCTATCACACATTGAGTTACAAATTTGGTAGTGTGCACCTACGACACAGGGGAGACACCACTGCAGCGAGCGGAACAGCATGGAGCACGCGTGGGCTCAGAAGTGGACACTGCCAGCAGAGGATATGATTGTAAGCATTTCAATCACTGTATGTATTACTGCAAACTTACATAACACTGTATGCATCACTTCTGCTTATGCATGTACAGGAAATAAATCTGGTCATGCCAATTTCATTAAGCTGGGAACATAATGCAAAGGTAAAGAAATAGTAATAAAGATGGAACAGTAGATTCTTTTTAATTGTCTTAACAAAAAAGATGGTCATGGCACCAATCTTTTTTTTATGTATTTGTTAGCTTTAACTGTGTGCATTTTAGCTTATGGAAACCATGCAACCTAACTCCTGTTAGGTCCAGAAAGGAACAAATCAACACATTTTATTTGTAAATTTAACAGCTTCATTAGGACTTGTAACTGTGCGCCTTTGCAACATTTGTCCCTTACTATTGAAAACATGCGTTTGCTTCCAATTTCTTCTTATATGAGTGATTTATGCTTCTTATTTAGATTTTCATAGTACTACATTTTGAGCCCACTTCTGTCCTCAAACCAATTTTACATCAGTTTAATTGCCTTAATTGCAACAGGTTTGAATTTCATTGCCACCAAGAGAGGTGAAGAGAGAATAGGACTCTCCATATTTGCTGCTTTGGAATTCCTTTTAAGCTCGAACAGAAATAAAAGATGTGCAAAGCATTTCTAGATAATATTAAGCATGTCTTGGGTACCATCTGTGTAGTCATGTATACTACTGGCTTCACAGCATTACTATTGAATAAATGACCACAGACTTTGGTGAGTTGAGTATCTTGCTTTTCTTTGCAATTTGTCTACATTTATAAACGCAAATGCTTTGTTTCCATATGTTTCAAATACTGATAATTCCATTACAATTTAATGGCTTAGACTGGCAGAATATTTTGTTCCAGTATCTCTTCAGTTCCAGTCTACTAAAAGTATTGAATAGCTGTCCTCCTAACCACTGGTGTAAACAAAGAAGAGCAGCAAAAATAGGGCTGAATTCCATGAGCTAAAGCTCATAGTTTTTATCTGACAAATATTGCAATAAACAAAATTTTCACATTTATGAGGATTTGTAGTCTCAGGATATAGTGATATCGAAAGGAACCAAACTCAAGGACCCATTTTATCCCCCATTTAGCTCCTCCACTTCGGTGAGATCAGCTTAGGCACTTCCATGCTGCTAGCCAGCTGGTTTGCCATTGCTCATCTGTGCTGAAACAGCTGCTGTGGAGATGGGCCCCAAGCCATGCCCCAAAACAACCTCTGAATAATGGCCTTGTTTTTAATTCAGGACGTCTTTACTCACCAGCCTGGTAGGGCAGGTTCCTAACTGTACAGCACAGCTAAGCAGCCAGAGGGGCAAGGACCTGGAGGGGCTATAGGGGTAGGAATTTATTATGCCAGCTTTACCACCAAAGAAAACATGATGTGTAACTCGTCCTGTGAGTGTGACCACATGTCAGAGGTGCAGCAGAGCTAGGTGAAAAGGTTATTGCCTCTGACTATCATTGCCTTCAAGGCTGAAACACGACCTACAGTGGGAAGCCAACGGGGCTTGGGGGGCTGCAGCTCCATCCAATGCGGTGCATAGAAATACCTGAGTCTGCTACTTGCACCACTGCAGTGTTTCACCTGCAGCTATTTTAAAGGCATCCAGACTTGGAAAAAAAAGGAAAACAACAACAACAAAAAGCCAATGCAAATAAAACATATTTTTAAGGGCATCTGAGGAAATTATTGAATTTCCAAATTATTAGGAAACAGTTTGGGTGTTAAAAAAGAAAAGTACATAGAGGGGCCATCAGCTTTTTATCTGCTTAGCCCCTCTATATGAAAAGAGACCCCTGCTCCTTGCCCCACTCCTCATCCATGTAGAGTACCTTTTCTTGTATGTCCAAAGAATTATCTTTTTTGTAATATTATTTATTTAGACCATAGCAAAAATATGCAAGGAAGAATTAGGCACAAAATGGAAGTTGTAGAGACAATGGGAAATATATACATATATATATATATAAATATATATATATATATCACAACATTGGTCAGTGGTGTAAGTTTAGAAGCAAAGTTCCTAGCAATAGCTCTTATGAATACCTGAGCTAATGAGCAGCACAGAGGCCATTCATAGTAACACAAATTCCAGCGCTATAAAAACCAAAACTTACATGTAGCTGAAATATTTTCAGATAGTTTCCCTCAGAAAATCAGATTTCCTCAGAATTTTGAAATTGTTTATGTCTCAAGCACATTTTTATCTTCGTATCAACTTTACAAAATGTTTTTTGTTTGAATATACTTTTTGAAACAAATGGTTTCAGCTGTAAGTTGACATTTCAATTTACTGTTTCCTTTCAAAATATTGAAATGCTTCATTCCAACCATAAATGTCTGAGATATTTTTCTTCCACATCATTTTTTCTGAGAAAAATTTCTTTCCTTGACACTTTTTAATATTTTGTCTTTATCCCCGTAATTCCAGATGACAATAATATCAAAATGCTATGAATTTTTTCGCTGAGTTGAAATTTTATTTTCAAACCACCATCTTATAGCTCCTCCATGAGCTCTCAGATAAAAGAGAATAACAGGCACTTATGCTTCTCCTTTACCAACTTACTAAAGGCAAGTCTATATAAGCGCAAGGCAGGCCGTAGCCACAGGAGAATATCCATTTCCCTTTGCAGCACCTACTTAAAATGAAACTCAGAAAGATCTGTGGGAAGCAGCCGAGCTCCACAACTGCAGTATGGAAAAATCAGCTTTTCCATGCAGAGTCCTGGATTCTGGCACCTTCACCCCAAGCCCGTGATCGCCTCAGCCGTATTGGTGCGGCTAAATCTCTGCTGTGACCGCAGCAGAGAAAGGGGCTTTCAAGCAACAGAAACACTTGCAGAAAACTTAAAATATTTTCCAGTTCCTTGCTTATTCTTCCGACCTGTGTGATCTTGTTTCTAGGACTCTTTTAGGAGAGAGCAAGGGGACATCCTCCCTTGTCTGGGCCTTTAGAGTTCATTGTGCAAAAATAAGTGTTTCTTCAAACATAGCACAGCTGAGTATGGCTTTATACATACCATGCAGAAAGAAAAGAGATTTTTCTACCTTCCCTTTCCACACGCTC